AACCTCTTATACGTTATTTTTTCATAAGTTACCCTACACTTACTTATTAACTTATAAACTAATAAACTAATAAGCAATAAGATTTTTTGCCAAACACCCCCTAAATGGTTATTACTTCCATTTATACATACCCAAACTACTTGTATTGTTTATCGTCCTCTTTTTTTTTTTTTTTTTTTTTTCGTTTTTCTTAATTCCTTTATTAATTTAATGTCCTACCAAGTAAAATACTAAAATATATAAATAATAGTTTATAAAAATAAACCTTTAGAATATCAGGTGTTGTGATTCAAAAGTCAATAAATAGGCCTTTGAGAAGGCCAAAATACTCAGGTGTCAACTTGTTCATTGTGATTTTAAACCAAGTTTGGTCACAAATTAAAACATTTTCAACGACAGTATGTAATTCAAGGATTCATATTGATTTAGGTTCTCGAAACCTTAAAATATTGAACAAAATCTATATAGAACCTTATAATAAGGACAATAATCACCGTAATCAGGAAGTCCATGTGATGAAACTTGATATTATAAGGATCAATGATGAAAAAAGTTTCATTTTTAGACTAAACAAGATGAAAAATATACAAAACTACCTTAATCATGTCAAATCTTGTGTTTAACCGTTCTTTATTGCAAAAATAAGATGCCAAAATATACAAACTAATGATAATACAATGCTCTAACTGGCCATCTTGGTTAAGTTTTTTGAACCTGCAAAGCCAACACATTAAAGAAACTTAGTAAAAAACCTTTTTAGGAACAAACCAGATATAATAAAGCTTTCACCCAATATATTTATAAGATAAAAATACAAAAAGTTAAAAATGATGAAATCAATTACAAGTCAGGATTAAAATAAAAACATGTTAAGAAAGAGTCATCTGCAAGAGGGATATTTGAATCAACATGTATTTTCTGATGGTTTCAAATTTTGAATTATCCGATATTCAGGGAAGGAGATAAAATTTGTTGAGAAATATAAGGATTCAAAACACATGTTAAAATTTAATATTATTTTATTGATGACTATTTGTACTATTAGCTTAATGATTTGAACGTCTTAAAAAAATAATATTATTATATTCAATCTATTTTTAGAAATAGTGGGATTTCTTTTATAAGATAGTAAAGATATATATATATATATATATATATATATATATATATATATATATATATATATATATATATATATATAGAGAGAGAGAGAGAGAGAGAGAGAGAGAAAGAGAGAGGTAGGTAGGTTCAAATGTTTCTCACATCTATTGGTGCATTCTAGCACACAATAAATGTAAAAAAACACTTTAACCTAGCCCTATATATATATATATATATATATATATATATATATATATATATATATATATATATCATCTTTTTATAAATATTTTCAATATTATACATCTGTAGTGGCCCAAATTCAAGAATTAAAAGTAAAACTTAAACTTTCAAAGTGACTTAATTTTATTCCTCGTCACTACCTATCTCATTTGCTTCCTAACTCTTAACTCTTTCAATTTTGCTTTTTAAACTTACTACTATCTCCGTCCAATCTTTATTGTCTAATTTTGATTGTTGAAGTCTTTATTCTTCAAATTTGACCTTAAATATTTTTGTTTTTGATAATAACATTTAATGCAAAATATATGAATGGATTGTGTTTTAAATGTCTTTTCATTGTTATAAATTTTATCAAGTAATTTATAACACAAATAAAACTATTTAAGGTTAAAGTAGAAACTTCAAAAGTAAAAAATGGACAATAAATATGAGACGGAGGGAGTATAATTTTTTTTTCGGTTCCACCTCCCAAGTCCAACATTTCACTTTTTAATTTATTTTTTCCTCAATGACTCTTACTTTTCAACCTATAAAATGTTTCAACCCAACATGATAATATATTTATAAGGTTTAAACCTTAACCCGAAACCTGACACGAAATCAACATGAAAATAAACGGGTTGACACGACACGACACGATAATTAAACGGGTCGGGTTAGGGTCAAGCACTCTCAACCCGTTTAATGTCTTAATACGGCACGAACCCGACATGACATGACACGTTTGCCAGGTCTACTTGAGAGGGAGACAGATAAAGCTAAGGCTATAGACACATAGACTTGAGAGGGAGATAGAGAAACTATGATTTCGATTTCACGATTCTAGTTCTAATATAAGTCTAACCTAAGTTGCATAAGATCACCCACATTCGGTCTTCCAAAAAGAACTTGCAATGCCACTAAGCTAGTTTTTAATACCACTTGAATTTGTTCTTCTATATCTGCAAGGCTTGCAAGTCTTGTAAGTAATTTTATATTACTATTTTAGTATAACAATCACCGGTGAGGATTTCTTTTATAACTATTTTAATGCCACTAATAAATTATGCTGAGTTGGCTTTTTTTTTGCAAGACATTAACCATCCACGGGTGTGGATGCTCTAAAGATACAATATGTTTATTTTAAATTTTAAAATTTTAAAATATATAGGTTGGTTTTAGTTTCATGGATCAGATTTTTGGTTTGGTTTTACATACCGGGTCGGTTTTAAAAACCCAAACCATATTTAAAAAAAAAAAAAAATCTAAACTCAAAATCGACAGTTTAGGGTTGGGTTCAATTTTTCGGTTTTGCTTTATCGTTTTTTCGATTTGGCTTTTTGCTCACCATCAGATACCAAGTGGTTTTAGATTATCAAGCTCATGAAATAATCTCCTTTTGAAAATTAATTCTCAATTTAAAATAGTTATAAATAAATATTCAAGCTAGTTAGATATCACGATGATACGAACACGATTCACCGAATAATGTTTATTATACTTGATAGTTGATAGAGATCCAAAAGCCCAAAACTAGAGTCCAAATTCACGTTTAATATACAGCCCAAATTTTGAAGCAACAACCGACTTCATTACATCTTCATCTTATTCACATTACCACTTCGAATCTCCTACCCTAATTTTCCCGCAGCAACAATTCTAGCAGCTTCGCAGACATGGCTCAAAAACCCAGATGGGGCGAATTAGAGGAAGAAGATGATGGCGGTGACTATGACTATTTGTTGCCGCCGAAACAGGTTATTGGCCCAGACGAACACGGCTTGAAGAAGATTATTGAGTACAAATTCAACGACGAAGGTAATCGGGTTAAGATTACCACCACCACACGCGTCCGTAAACTCGCGAATGCTCGGCTCAGCAAGCGCGCCGTGGAGAGGCGTTCCTGGCCTAAGTTCGGTGATGCCGTTCAAGAGGACGTCGGCGCCAGGCTCACCATGGTTTCAACCGAGGAAATCATCTTTGAGCGACCTAGGGCTCCAGGTACGTCATCCCTAGATCTGAAATTTCATATAATTGTAACAATCCTTCATAATTATTATGTTAAATTGTATTACTTTATTTACATCTAGCCCTAGTTCTCTACATCAGGTTTATTGCCTAGATCAACAGTTTCAGTTAAAATTCACTATGCACATATCAATTATCATCACAATAGTCAATCGCTACCGATTTAAACACTTAGGAATCTATCTCAATTTCATTGCTGCTTGTTAGATATACAGATTGTGAATGCGAAGTTTTGTCTTTTAGGTACAAAAGCTGAAGACTCAAATGCATCTGGAGACCCATTAGCCCAAATGTCGAAAGGAGGAGCTGTATTGATGGTATGCAGGACATGTGGGAAGAAAGGAGACCATTGGACCTCAAAGTGCCCTTACAAGGACTTGGCTCAGCCTACTGAGTCCTTCTCTGAGAACCCAAACCCTTCAGACTCATCAGCCACAGGTGCAACCGGTGCAACCAAGGGTGCATATGTCCCACCCACGATGCGTGCGGGTGCGGTTCGAACCACTGCTGGTGCAGACATGAGGCGGAGGAATGATGAGAACTCGGTTCGGGTCAATAACCTTTCAGAGGACACTCGTGAGCCTGATTTGTTGGAGCTGTTCAGACCTTTTGGGAATGTTTCTAGGGTTTATGTGGCTATGGATCAGAAGACTGGAATGAGCAGAGGGTTTGGGTTTGTTAATTTTGTCAGGAGGGAAGAGGGTGAAAGAGCTATTGCTAAGCTTAATGGTTATGGTTATGATAACCTTATCTTGAGTGTTGAGTGGGCTGCTCCCAGGGCAAATTAGTCTTTTTTGATTTTCGTGAATTTACATTTGCGTTTCTTCTTTAAAATTACCTACCTACATTGTTTGTAAGCAAGATTTTTGGGAGTTATTGCTCATGTTTTGATGTGCATTAAAACTTGTGATAAGATAGTAGACTTTTTATTTGAGTTGTTTATTTAATCAAAATCCTTAAAACATTTGACATATCATTTTTCATCAATTAACATATTTTGAATTTAGAGATAACTGCATTTTTCAAAAATTTGGGGTTTAAGTTTCTGAACTTTCAACTTTGCATATAGGGGATTTTTTTTTTAGTACTTTCACTGGAAATTGACAATTATGCCCTTCCTACATAATGGTGCTTCTTTGGTAGGGTCATTTTCAGCAGTAAAAGATAAGTATGTTTTCATTTGTAACCTGAGAGCTTAAATTCCTTCTCCTTTTAAGAAAAATATAAAGCTTTGAGTGTGTGCTACATAATGGTGCAGTTTTCTAGAAGTTGGATTTCAGAAAACCTGAGTTACATTTTGGGCCTTGAGTTTTACTGGATTTTCTAGATAAAATTGAAAAAATGGTCCTTGTGATTGTTAATTTTATGTGCTTTTGGTTGGTACATCACTAGTTTGAAATTGAATATTTCTATTGTTTTTTGTTCCTATCTGTTTTAAAAGATCATTATACCCTTATAATTTGTTTTTCCATTTTTTATTATCAATTTTTATTCAAAATAAAAAAAACCCACCACCATCCCCCCTCTCTCTCTCTCTCTCACACACACACTAAATCTTCATCTGGTTCTTTAACTTCATCTTCTTAAACATACACACAAAATACACAAAATTATGAAGATGCTTGTCCGATGGAGAAAAAGAAATACGAATGGGAACAACCATATGGTCGATCGATGGTCCAGTGGTCCAACTCTTGTGTTCTTCTGTCTCGGAAGAAGAAGGCGAAGGAAGGGGGCTCGGTGTAGCTAGTGGTTCCGAAGGGAAGGAGGCCAGAAAAGAGTTCAGACGAGAAACACGACGTCGCGGGTGGTTTGGTGGCGTTTGCTTTACCGGGGGTGGCGGCATCGAATGGGGGTGGCGGCATCAGATGGTGCTGGCGGAGTTGTGATGGCAGCGGGTGGCTCTGTCGCTTCCTCTCCTGTTAGGTAACTTGACAAGGAATAGATAGAAGGCAACAGCGGCGTTGGGGTGTTTGATTGTGGTGGGTCACGACGACAGGGGGAGGCAGATGAGCTGCTACAGTTGACTGTGGTGGCTCTCTTTGCCGGAGAAGTGAGAAACGAGGGAGAGAGATGAGTTGGAGATGAAATGGAGGCCGAGGAAGGGATATCGACGACATCAGCTGTGGTGGGCGGTGGTGGTTTGCATCGGCGATGGGTGGCAGTCGACTTTTGGTTTTCTTGCTTGCTCTAGCGATTCACGATGGGGAAGTGGAAGTAGCGGTCGATGGGAGGTGTTGGTCGTTTATGGTGGAGCAAGGTGGCCGGAAGGATCATTGAGGTGGGCAGTAGAGTGGTGTAGCTTCTTCCTGCTCTTTTTCCAGCATTACAATGGAAGAGATGAGGGATCGGTATTTTAAGAGATGAGTATAAAGATCATGAGAGAGAGAGAGGTAAGTTTATTTTGTTTTTGTTTTTTATTTTATTATAAAAATAAGAAAACAAATAAAAGAAATTAAAATATAATTATTTAAGGGGCATATTAGTCATTTTAGGTGGGATGAGGACCAAAAACACAAGAAAATACAACAATAGGGACCAAAACCACACAATGTATCTAAAATTGGACCAGTGGTGCACAAACATTTCGTTTTGGACCAAAGCTACATAATTTTGCAAACCACAAGGACCATTTTTGTAATTTTGTCGGATTTTCTAACTTAATGAGAGGAAAGACATATTAAAGATGAGAGTTAGGTTGGTAGGGTCCATCTTATTTATATAGAGCATGGGTATAATTGTCAATATACTTAAAACATCTGTGAAAGTATAAAAAAAATCAACAAACATTAGATCTATCTTAGTCCTGTCTCGAAATCCTTTGCTGATCCCCACATGATGAGGTTCAACTCCTTTGCAACTTTTCCTAAATCAAATAAACATAATCTTGTTATTAAGTTTATAACAAGGAAGAATATGCATTATACCTTAGATTATGGTGATTATTTATCAATTTCTAGACTAGTTTTTGATGCTATTAGATCCTTCATGCTTTGAGTCACTAATAACGAGTCTCTTCTTAAGAGAACTAATTATTGGAAGTCAAATTGAGGATAAAAATTGTTGGTGTTTGTCAAAGATACTTGTCCCACGGGGACATCAAACTTTATTAAGTTTAGAAGGCCTGCTCTTCAATTCTTATCATAATGGATTAAGAGCATGATGTGGGCTAGTGCAGGTTTGTGGGCTTTAAATTACTAGTGGATTCCTAGTGATGGATCCTGGGTCTTAAGAGATAATCCGAAAATTAGTATTAATTATTATTTATTTAAACAAGTGAAATCTATTTTTCTGATCTCTTGGATGAACACACACCATAAGCAAATTCAAACTCTCTCAATTTCATGAATACATACACTAGTTAGGTGTATCCTAAATTCAGAAGTCTATAAACTATTGCACAGATAGGGACCAATTTTATGTCTTAGGACATTGCATTTGCAAGCGTCTATTTGTTCATAATCAGCAAAATTCATTTAGTAAGCTTTATGTTTATATTTTTTGAGATATAGCAAAATGATACTATGTTATGGTTATGATAACGTATCTAAGAAAACAGTTTTTTATGCAACAATTTAACAATTTTTTTTATTGAAAACAATTAGCTTTAAATGATCGAAAAAGCATACTATTTTGACCCGAAGAGTCAGTGATGGAGCTTGAACTTTTGAATTTGGGGGGGGGGGGGGGGGGGGGGGTGGCGAAAGTATAATATGTATAAAACTTAAAGATTAGGAGGGGCCATAGTAATTTTTTTTAGCTTTAGGCCAAATATGTAAATTTTTTAATATTAATGGACTAATTATAAAAAAAAACGGGGGGGGGGGGGGGGGGGGGGAACCTTCCTAGTCCCTGCGAAGAGTTATATTAACCATTTGACCTAACACGATCATATATATGATCATTAGTGCCCCGTACGGAAAAAAATATTTCGACCTTTATGACAAATCAATTACCGTAACATTAGGGCATGTTTGATACATAGCATTTAGGAGGTTCTAGCATTTGACACAGAGCATTTAGGAGGTTCTAGGATTTGACAAAACACTCAGTTTTGAATTAAAAATCTTGTTTGACACTACAAGCTTTTAACGTTTAGTTTAAACAAAACACTCAAAATCTAAAAACTATTTCACATAACGTTTAACAAAACGCTGTCAACTACTAACTACCGACTAGTTTTACCGAACGCGCCCTTAAAATCACTAACCATTGTTCATATAACGACGTTTTAATACTCATATAATAGTTTACTTGTTAATTAGATATCGGTTTATCAACCATCACAATTTCCCCTAAAATGCATATTAGCGGTCCTGATCTCTGGTTGGTCTCGGAAGTGTTCGATTTTTTTAAAACCTGTCTAGGAAAAATCCTATTTTCGGACCAAACTTGGACAGTCTTAGGCCGGTCTTTTTAGACCGGTCTCTGTTTTTTTTGGTCCGGTCCGTGGTCTTTGCATGCATTTTTTTCGGTCATGTGTCGTGTTCTTTGTATATTTTATTTTGTTCAATTTAGGGGGTTTTCGGTTCGGTTTCAATATTTTTTGGTTTTTTGGTTTCGGTTTCGGGTGTTTCCATGTACATATGTATGATTAACAAGTTGGAAGAATTTGGGTAATTATATACTAAAATTTAATAAAATAAAGAAGGGAAGAAGTTGGGTAATGTGTGATTAACAAATATGTAAATGCCACAAAAATTATATATAAACTTGGCTTCTATTATTTTTTGAGACATGTCTCGGATTCAGACCGGTCTTTAATCGTTTTCGAAACAGTCCCGTTTTATTTTTCAGACCGTTCTCGACCAATTTTTTTTCCGGCCTTTGGTCTGATCTTGGTTTTTCTTTTCCGGAACCGACCTGAAGCAGGTCTTATTGTTCAAGTCTAACTCAAATGTCCAACTTTTACCTAACACCAAACTTTGGTGTTCAAGCAAGGATTTCCAAAAGACAACGATCGATGAAAAAATAATACTAACGTTGATTGAATAAAAAATTAGTCAAACAATACCATCCACCGGTTTCTTACACAAACACTATGCTTCAAAAGTCAAAAGATAACATTAGCAACACAAAGATTAACAGATGAGATAACCTTTGTTACACGATCCCCTGAAATAGAAGATAAAATTAATCGTCAAATATCCTAGAAAAATATCTGCTTTGAATCACCCTATGAGTTTTTTCAGTGAATATGATGGAGCCCCGACAAACATTTAATAAACTTATCACTACGAGACATGCCTGGTAAATTAGTTGATAATCAAATATTCAATATAAACTTGGACTTCAGAATAAAATAACTTAAAAATGTGAAGCCCATTCTTTTGATCTTCACTCACACCCACTAACCAAAAGTAGTCTTCATAATTCATATGCGAAGTGCGAACTACGAAGATATGGGTCATGATCATGAGACCAACAATGACATTAAGATGGAAAATGACTGTTAGTTGGTTAGCAATATGGTCACGTAAAATATGGTCACGTGTTTGAATGATGAAAATGATCATTTGAAAGTAGTTGATTAGCAATATGGTCACGTAAAATACACATATATTCAATGCTTTCTGAAAGTTCATTCTATGCCTAGTGTGTTTTGTCCCTCATTTTCTCCATCTTGCATGTCAGTAACCATAATGTTCTCTTCAAAGTCTGTAAATAAGTCATTTTGAATATTTTAATTCCTTATAAAATTATGGACTGCAAAATAAACAATGATTATGTCTCTTTGTACTGCAAATGGATAAGGAACCATTTGTTTTGTGATTGAAAATCTCGCCTTCAATATACCATAAGCACGTTAAAAAACATTACTGAGTTGTGTATGACCATGATTGAATCTTTCTTCTTTAGTTAACGTTTGTCGTAGTCGAAAACAGGCCAACTAATACCTCATATTGCGGTAGGGAGTCATAAATTCACGAGTGTTAGTATATGTCACATCACAAATGTAATATTTGTATGTGAGTGTGACACCTATTATATAAAGAATAGATATAATGTATTTAATAATAAAAAATATAGAAATATTATAAACCTCGTTGAGGAAATGGAAATCCGAAAGTCTGATTAAATGCAAATTCTTTCAAAACTCGTGAATCATGTGCTATGCCCTCCCATTCAACCCATACAAAAATTAATATTGTATCAAACCACAAGTTCTCAATACATTTTGATAACATTCACATTTTCCTCTTCCCCTATAGCGAGTTGTTGATCAACGAGCACATCTACATGCATAATCCTATTCAATGAGATGAGGGAATGTAGAAGATGGCTACCATCTGTGAACGGTCAGTCGATGTCACCCCATCAAACAACAGGGTACAAAGACTAGGGCAACATAGGGATGCATTTATCAATTTGTCTACAAACTTGTTCATCTGTTTGAAAATTTAATAAATATTATCAAACTAGTAAAACAAAAGAAACATTTTTTTTAAATACCTTCGCCCTCGTATCCCATTCTACATCACTCATATTGAATGTGTTTGTTACAAGATTATAAAGATATCCCAATTTTGTTTTTAAGTTTCAAACAAACAACACACTTTGCTTTTAAGCAGTCATATCAACTTTTCATATGTTTGTTTTTTGTCAACAATAAAAATTTGAACATATTTCAGTTTTTCCATTAATACATTCCATGAACTTCCTTTTAAGCTACTACCCTCTCGACCGTTAGTTATTAGTTCATGTATACATGTTTCCAGAAACATTTTGTCCACGCATTCCAACTTCCACCTATCTCTAGGTCTCTTATTTGTCATTTCTAGGATAAAAGCAATGATAAATCAACCAACCTAATATAAATATAGAACATAAATTTGATTTCACAAACAAACATGATTTTGATTTCATAAACCAACATGAATCTGATTTCATAAATATGATTTCAAGGACAAAATCTAATAAACCAACCAACCTAACACAAATGTAGAGCATAAGTTTCGATTTCATACCAAAATGTTCTGATTTATACCAAGATTTTATAAATTACGATTTCATAAATTATGATTTCATAACAAAAAATTAGATTTCATAACAAGATCATACAAGCAGAATTCAGATTTCATACATTAGATCATACAAGCAAGAATTTTGATTTCAGATTTTTATACATTGTATGAAGAAATTAAAGCTTAATCCATATTTTCATACGTAAAACATACCAACATAAATATCAACATAAAATATAATTTTGATTTCATTCATCAAACATACATACAAAAGTATCAGCACCATTTTTTCAACTGATTAAAAAAAAAAAGACGAAGCACTGTGGAGGTAGGCGTTGGCGATAGTCGGAGGCCAACGACTCTACTTGAGACGGTCATGTCTAACCGGCCTAAAA